GCTGCCCACCCCGCCGCCCCGCTCAGCCGCAGCCTGGGTGACCTGCGCCTGCCCGCGCCCCGCCGCCTGCGCAGCGACAGCCCCACCGCCCCGCGGACCCCTGCGCCGCTCCGCRCTTCCAGCTCCGAGCTCTCCGAGGCCGAGGAGGTGCCCGGCTGCCCCGTGCTGCCCGCTGCCTGCCACAGCGTCCCGGACCCAGTGGCAGCCCCACTGCAGCAGCAGCTGCAGCAGCACCGTAAGCTGACCCTGGCGCAGCTCTACCGCCTCCGCACCACGCTGCTGCTCAACTCCACGCTCACCGCCTCGTGAGTGCTGYGCTGCAGGGCCGTGCCGCGCTGCGCCATGCAGCGTTGTGCCGTGCCGTGCCACTGTGTGCTGTGCTGCAGCCTCACACAGCTCTGCCTCTGCCCGCAGGGAGGTGTGACCACGATGCGGCGCGTGGACGGAGAAGCTAGTGCCCGCCAAGGAGCCCCTCCGTCTCGTGCTGCCGCGTTGGGGCCGGGATGGGACAGGACACTGTCGCCTGCCCCCGGGGCTCCTGGCCTGTGCGGCGCTGGGGCTGCTACGTGCCGAGACAAAGGGAGCGAGACGTTGGCGATGGGTGAAGAGGGACGAGGTGCAGAGGGGCTGCAGCAGCAGCAGCAGGAGGGGACGGCGCTGCGGCGGCGGTGCAGGGAGCCCAGGGCAGCGCGGTGCAGCGGTGGTGCAGGGCCAGGAGCGAGGGATGTGGTGAGCGCCGGGTCAGTGGCCCCAGGGGCAGCCGAGCGGTGCCGCAGGGCCAGGTTGCGGAAGCCGCAGCACATTGCATTGCCCATGGGCGTCTGCACTGTGCAGTGACGGGCTGAGCATTAAACCTAGCCGAGTGTAGGCACTGGTGTCGCAATCTCTTCTGCCACCGCGTCCCCGCCAATGTCGTGCCGTCATTACGTGGCTTCGCAGCCCAGCCCCACTTCCAAAAAAGCACTTCCCTCCGGTYGTGCTGCGTGTAATAGCGCGTCGGGGCGGGTGACCTGTGCACTCGCTGCACGCTGCGCTGCACCGCGCGCTGCACAGCGCTGCGGCGGCGTTGGGCGGTGCGGGAGGATGCAGCGGCGGCGCGGCGTGCCGGGGCGCTGAGCGCGGGAGCCGCAGCTGCGCCGTGCTGCCTGCGCGCGCTCTGCTGGGGACCGGCATGCGACGGGCGCAAGGATGAGGCGCGGCGTCTCGGCRGCAGCCTGGGTGAGCGCGGTGAGTCCTGCAGCAGACACGGGGCCAGGGTGAGGCGTGGAGCAGCCAGCGCCGCTCCGGACGTCCAGCAGCCCGTGGCGGGGACGGTGCCTCCACCTGCGGCTGGCGGCTCTCTTTGGCGCCGGGGCCTGGGAAGGCCGGCGTGCTTGGAACCGCTCTGCCATGCCGCGGGAAGCACACACCGCACGATGCCACTGACTCAGAGGTGCCGCTGGCCGCAGCCTCGTCACGGCACGGCTCTCCCGGCGTGATGCGCGTGGGCGCCATGCGCAGGGGCCCCCGTGCCCAAGGCGTAGCGGGTGATTCAGCCCCTTAATCGGGGCCATCTCGCCCGGGAAACACTCCCTGCGGTGCGCARCATGGGCCCTGCTAGCCCAACCTGCCAAGCGGCTCCTGTGCGGGGTACACAGATGCGCTCCTGCAGCAGGCTGCACTGTGCTGCACCGTGCTGCGCTGCACCGCGCTGCACCGTGCTGTGCCACACAGCACCGCGCTGAGCCCCGCGCAGCGCAGTCATCCCGTCCTGGCACAGCGCGGCGTGGGGGAGCAGGTGACCTAGTTTGGGGTGCACGTATAAGGCGCGATAGCATCACAGGGAGCGAAGCTGGGCACCGTTTCCTCTAAGGGAGGAAACCACCTCGGCAGAGCAGCGCAGAGATAAACCGGGGAAAGTCAGCGCCGGCGGCGTTAACCCTCCCTTGCCCGGAGTGGTTCAGGCTGCATGGCACACGTGGGGCTGCCCGAGTGCCCACATGCACCTGCGGTGCAGCGCCCCGTGCTGCCCTCCTCCTCATCATCCCGGAGGCGGCGGCACACGGGCCGCTTACGGGAACCGTGGCGGCCTTTCCCCGCGGCGCCGGCAGGAAGCCGCTGCTGCCGGCACGGGGCTGGCGCGGGGCATTCCCGCCTGCAGCCGGTTCTCCCTGCCCAGGTGCTGCTGGCGACGCTGCGGCTGGTGGCAGGCGGGTCATCRGTCGGGGGGCCGGGGCGGCTGGTGGGGATGCTGCCGCGGTCCCCCCTGCCGCCCCTTCACGTYCGTCGGGACATCACGCGAGTGTCCTGCCCTGCCGGCACGCGCTGGAGCGAGCGGGGCCGCCGCTGCTGCACCCCGTGCCCCGCAGGTGAGAGCCGCGCACAGGGCCGCCCCGCGGGGCCGCTGCCCGGGGCTGCGCTGCCCTCACCACCCTGTCACACAGGCACCTTCCTGCGCTCGCCCTGCACCAGCCGTGTCAACGACAGTGTCTGCGAGCCCTGTCCCGCTGGCACCTTCCACTCGCTGTCCAACACTGCCCTGTCGTGCAAGGCCTGCTACGAGTGCGACCGCCAAGGTGACCGCGCCGCTACGYCCCGCGCTGCGCGGCCCCGCGGCCCCGCTCACCACCCACCTCCGCAGCCTTGCAGAGCGTGCTGAGCAACTGCTCGGCCACCAGCAACATCGTCTGCAGCTGCGAGGCCGGCTACTACAAGGAGTGCATTGACAACCGCTGCAGCAACTTCCACTGCCGCGAGTGCCGCACGTGCGCCGGGAGCCTCGTGGACCGCCCGTGTGAGCACCGCGCCGGGCGGCGCTGCGCCGCGCCGTGCTGCGCTGCACCCTCACACCTCTCGCCCCCCAGGCTCGCTGGCGCAGGACACGCAGTGCGGGAGTTGCAAGCCCAACTTCTACGCAGAGGGCGGCAAGTGCCACCCGTGCCCGCCGTAAGCAGTGGGGGCGGCGGCAGCGGYGGGGCYGGTGGCCCAGGGGGCCGGTGTGGCGGCGCGGCACCGCTGACACGCGCTCTCCCTGCAGGCGCGACGCGGACGCGTGCGGCGAGGAGTGCCAGCGGGCGTGCGTGCGGCACCGAGGTGCGTGGGGAGCCGCGGGGGGCGCGGCGGCGCCCCGTGCCCACCGCACACACCCGGCTCCTCTCTTGCAGGCGCGGGGCTGGAGTACCTGCTGCTTGGGCTGGCCGGGCCGCTCTTCCTGGGCGCCCTTGCCATCTACCACAAGCGGCTGCGGCAGGACGCCTCCGGCTGCAGCCCTCTGCCCGCCTCCCCGCGCCGCAGCAGCCCGGACCCTGCGCCTGAGCCCACGCCTGGCCCTGCAGCCAAGCCCGGCCCTGGCCCCAGACCCGGCCCCATGGCCGGCCGTGCCATGCAGAGCTGCTGCGGTGAGCTGGGTTCGGCACCGCTGGTGCCTGCGGCTCATGTGGAGGAGGCAGCGCAGCAGAGCCTGCTGAGTGCAGGGGTCAGCAGCTGCCGGGAGCCCCGGTGCCACCAGCCTGGTCCCGCCACCGCCGTCCTCCCTGAGACCATGGCCCTGCTGCAGTGGTGCCGTCCGCACCTGGGCGCCCAGCCCAAGCACCTGCTGCAGGGCAGCCAGCTCTATGCCATCATCGACGCCGTGCCGCTGCGGCGCTGGAAGGAGTTCATGCGGGTGCTGGGGCTGCGGGACACCGACATCGAGGTGGTGGAGCTGGAGTTCGCCCATGTGCGCGACCAGCAGTACGAGATGCTCAAGCGCTGGGGCCAGCAGAGCAGCGCCTCGCTCAGCCACGTCTTTGCCGCCCTGGAGCGCATGGAGCTGGAGGGCTGCGCCCAGGCGCTGCGCCTGCGCCTGCAGGACTGCCCTTGAGCTGGCCGCTGTGCCGCAGCGGCACGTGGGCTGCGGGCTGTGCTACGCACACAGGCAGCGTGCAYGCTACATGCTGGGTGCTGTGCTGCGCGCACATGCTGCATGCCAGGCTGCAGGACATGCGCCACCGGCTGCCCCGGCGCCTGTGSCCACGCACGTCCCGCCAGGCGCCCGACCCCTAAGTAGAGTTACTTATGCCGTGTAGACATGTTATGTCAGTTATGGCCCGTGGGCCGCGCTGGCGACAGTGGGACGGAGATCTCCGCCCAGCAGCGCAGCCCGCAGCCCCCTATTTATGTCCCCCCGAGCCTGTGGGGCATCGACCAGACCCTGGCACCCCTGCCCTGAACCCATGGGATAGTTCTCGAGGCCTCTGGCTGGCGGGGCGCGCGGGGCGGTCCCCTCGGAAGTAAAGCGGCCTCTTCTCCAMCACTGGCACCAGCTCTTCTTCCCGCGGCGGCACGGAGGGTGATGCAGGTGCAGGGGCTGTGGCACATGCCACACGTGCCAGGGTGGGTGCAGGTGACGGGGCCASTGCAAGGCCCCAGTGCGGAGGAAGGTGCGGGGTGTGCGGGGTTATCACTTTATTCGCTGCAAACGCAGGGCTCTAGGGCAGGCACAAGCCGAACGTCTCCTCTAGCGGCTCCGGGAGCGGGGGTGCGGGTGGCGGTGGCGGGCGCGCGGCGCGGGTGCGCGGCGCCAGCGGGTGCACGGGGCTG